TTTTTTTTTTTTGGTACGGGGAATCAAACTTAGGACCTTGCGCTTGCCAGGCAGGTGCTTGTGCCACTGAGCTATATCCCCGGCCGCAAACTTTTTTTCTTAAAGGGCTCATAGTAAATATTTTCAGTTTTGTAAGCCAGGAAGCAAATGTAAAGACTATTGTAGGTAGTTATAAAACTGTGTAGGTGCAGGGTAAAAAAATAAGAAAAATAAAACTGTTTAGGGGCTGGGGATTTAGCTCAGCGGCACAGCACCTGCCTGGCAAGTGCAAGGTCATGAGTTCGATTCCCGGTACCGGAGAAAAACAAAAAAAGTAAGGAAAACTGTTTAAAATTTTTATGACCCTTCTTAGCTCATAGGCAGTATAAATATGGGCAGCTAGACAGATATGGTGCCGTATTTTGCTGGCTTTTGCTCTTAAGTATTTGAATATATCAGCTGACCAAAAAATTGGCTTGATTAGTCATTTCCAAAGGTACTTTATTCTGATTTGGACTATAAGAAATATCAGTGCTGTAATTATTTAAATGTTTAATATTCAAGTTGTCATTGTGAAGTAATAGTCTTTATTTCTGTCAAATAGCTAAAAATGAAGCTGATCGGCAGGCAGAAAAACGAGAGATTAAACGTCGGCTCACTAGAAAGGTACCGCTTCCTGGTTTTTTATTTCAGTCTATCTACCTAGTATATGTCTTGCCTTTGGATGATGTATTTGATTGGAAATAAGTGAACTTGATTTATGGTGCTATCAATTGCTATGAAAATACATAATCTATGTAGAAAATTATACGTTATCAAGAGCTTTTTCTTGTTATTTGGAGGGGTGGGGGTGGTTTTTTTTTGAGACAGGGTCTCGCTATGCCTAGGCTGACCTTGAACTCACTATGTAGCCAAGGCTAGCTTCAAACCTGTGGTGATCCTCCTGCTTCAGCCTCCTGAGTGCCAGGATTACAGTCGTGCATCACCATACCTGGATTCATTTTTAATATTTTTAAAAGACCTGACATAAGAAGGTGTTTGATAAATTTTGACCTTTTATTTCATAGACCTAGAATTATGATGTAGACTGAGACTTGGTGTTTTTTGCCCACATGGTGGCGCAAGCCTTTAATCCCAGCACTTGGGAGGTTAAAGCAGAAAGATTATCGTGAGTTCAAAACTAACCTAACTACATAGTGAGACCCTGTCTCAAAAACCAAAAAACAAAATTTGGTGTTATTTGCTTTGGAATTTTAGGGGTTGGTTTGATTTGGATTGGTTTGATTTGGTTTAAGACCCCCAAAACCCCATACTAGGGATCAGACTTAGTGCCTCACACAAGGTAGGCAAGCACTGTTCCACTGAGCTGTACCCCAACCCTGTAAAACTTGTTGAGACAACGACAGGAGCAGTATGTTGCATTCAATTTTGCAAAGCAAACTTGCGGTTTTCTAATTGTGAACAAATTGAAATAACCCTGAGCAATACTTTTTTTTTTTTTTTTTTTTTTTTTTTTGTCTTTTAAAGACAAGGTCTCACTATGCAGTTCAGCCTGGCCTTGAGCTCACTTTGGTTTTTCTCCGGTACCAGGAACCGAACTCACGACCTTGCGCTTGCCAGGCAGGCGCTTTTTGCCGCTGAGCTAAATCCCCAGCCAACCCTGAGCAATACTTAAACATGAAAAACATTGATTTTCCTTCTTGGTTCCAGATCAGTTAGGATAGAACCTTTTCTGTACTTGACCAGTGTTAGCACTAGGATTAATCCCTTTGTCTTTTCTTTATCACCAAAAGTTTTGAATTGTGTCCTATAGATTCTAATTTGGGCTGAGGTGTTTTTGATTTTTTTTTCATAGTTTTCTAATATTTCCTAAAACAAGAATCCCCAAAAGGGCAAGAGATCTAGATATTCTTTTCTTGATTTATCCTACTTCTTCATTTTGTAGGAATGAAGTGATCATCCTTGATAATTAGAAGCCATGCCCAGACTTAATACTTTCATATTGAGTGGTTTACCTGATTATACAACCTTATCATAATTTGCTACTTATCTTGGGCATTACTGATGTTGAAATAAAATTGGCAAATGTTACTACCTAGCCAGGCGTGGTGGCACAAGCCAGGTGTGGTGGCATTCATTCATTTTTATTGCTGAATATTGAACTCAGAGCCTCAAGCATGCTAAGCTCACTCACTACCTCTCTCTGAGCCCAGACCAGAATCTAATTTTTTTTTTTTTTTTTTTTTGTCTTTTTGAGACAGGGTTTTGCTGTGCAGTTCAGGCTGGCCTTGAACTCACTTTGTTGCCCAGGCTAGCTTTTTTTTTTTTTTTTTTTAGCCTTAAATTTATGGCAATCCTCCTACCTCAGCCTCCCCAGTGCTGGGATGACAGGTGTGCACCACCACACCCAGCTGGTCAGAATCTAAATTTTAACCAGATCTCCAGGTGATTTATCTGCATAGTAAAATTTGAGATGCACTGGATTATAGCAGTAGTTCTCAGTCTTACCTGTGCAGTGAAGTGCTGAAGAAAAAAAAAAGGATAGGAGAATACAAAGTCTCTTCATACCCAGAAGTCTCTGGGAATGGGATCCAGAAATAATTGTGGTTGAAGACCCAGATGATTGCCATGTTCAGTGAAGATTAAAAGTAATTTCAGTGAATGATTGATGCCAATTCCTGGCACAGTAAACTAAGAGGCTTCTTTCTTTCAGCTTAGTCAAAGGCCAACTGTGGCTGAACTCCTTGCCAGGAAGATTCTGAGATTTAATGAATATGTGGAGGTAACAGATGCTCAAGATTATGATCGGCGAGCTGACAAACCTTGGACCAAACTGACCCCGGCTGACAAGGTTACTATAAAATGCTCACATGGGGCTGGGGATATAGCTCAGTGGCATAAGCGCCTGCCTGGCAAGTGCAAGGTCCTGAGTTTGATTGCCGGTACCAGAAAAAATTGATTAAAATGCTCACTGAGCCGGGCGTGATGGCACATCCCTGCAACCCCAGCACTCGGGAGGCTGAGACAGGAGGATTGTTGTGAGTTCGAGACCAGCCTGGGCTACAAAGTGAGTTCAAGGCCAGCCTGAGCTGCATAGCGAGACTCTGTCTCAAAAAGACACACACACAAAAAAAAAAAATTAAAATAAAATGCTCAGGGGCTGGGGATTTAGCTCAGCGGCAAAAGCGCCTGCCTGGCAAGCACAAGGTCGTGAGTTCGGTTCCCGGTACTGGAGAAAAAACAAAGACAAAAAACAAACAAACAAAATAAAATGCTCACATGTTCTCTCTGGAGTTCTATCTCCTCTTCCTTCTCCTCTTTATCCTCCTTTTCCCTCTTTCCCTCTCCCTCTCTCCTTTCTTTGAACAATGCTAGATCCTGAGTAGACAAGGTAACCAGAAACAAAACTTCTAGTTTTGCTATAATGTTAAATTTCAAGTCAAGATGTAAAATGCCGTGATATACAACCAGACTTTATATTAATAACTCTGCACCAACACTGAAAGTAAAGATCCCTGCAGTCTCCCACCCCCCTCCAGTACCAGGAATTGAACTCACGACCTCATGCTTGCCAGGCAGGCGCTGTGCCGCTGAGCTAAATCCCCCACCCCAATCCCTGCAATCTTGAAGAGTAAAAAAACTAGAAGGAGGCCAGGAGTGATGGTGCACACCCAGAATCCCAGCACTCGGGAGACTGAGGCAGGAGGATCACTGTGAGTTTGAGGCCAGCCTGGGCTACATAGTGTGTTTAAGAGTGGCCTGAACTACACAGTAAGATCCCATCTCAAAAATTCCAAAAAAAACTTAGAAGCTAATAAAACATTTTTGGGTTTAGGGTTTGGGGTGAGGTTTGGGGGAGATTTTGTTGTTGTTTGGTTGTTCAGTTGATTGGTTGGTTGGGTTTTTTGAGGTTTTTGTGTTTGGTTTTTTTTCCCCCAGTACTGGGAATCAAACTCATGACCTCACACTTGCCAGGCAGGTGCTGTGCCGCTGAGCTAAATCCCCTGCCCTAGTTGGTTGGTTTTGAGATAGGATTTCACTTTATAGTTCAGGATGGTCTTGGACTCAATGTGTAGCCCAGGCATGGCTCAAACTTGTGGTGATCCTGCTGCCTCAGTCTCTTGAGTGTTGAGATTATATACATACACCACCATGCCCAATTATTTTGTTTTTGTTTTTGTTTTCTGTCTTTTGAGACAGGGTCTCACTATGCAGTTCAGGCTGAACTTACCTTGTAGCCCAGGCTGGCAATGATCCTCCTGCCTCAACCTCCCAAGTGCTGGGATTACAGGCATGCTCCACCACCCCTGGCTTTGTCTTTATTTTGAAACAGTGTCTCACTAAGTTTCTAAGTTACCCAGGGTGGGCTTGAACTTGCAGTCTTCTTGCCTCTACCATCATGCCCAGCTCAGTTTTTGTGTTTGTTTTGAGGGCTGGGAATCAAAACCAAGGCCTCATATGTTAGGCATATACTCTAACTACTGAGCTGTAGTGCCTCTCTGTTGTTTGTTGTTCTTGTTGTTGTTTTGAGACAGGGTCTCAGTATGTAGTCCAGGGTAGCCTTCAACTCATTATGTAACCTAGGCGAGGCTAAAGCTCTTTTGACAATTCTCCTGCCTTCCTAGTGCAAGGATGACAGGCATGTGCCACCACACCCAGCATAAAACACTAGGGTGTTTTGGCAGCTGTTCAGTATTTATTGACCATGTTACAAAATGAGGTTTAATCAGAAAGACCAAATTGCATGTCGTCATCATCCTCAGATTCTTCCTCCTTTGCTTCCACTTTCTTCTCCTCAGCTGGCACAGCTGCAGTGGAGCGGGCAGGGCCTCCTGCAAGTGCAGCACCTGTGGGAACAGGTCCACACACCCCTGCGTTGCACGCGAGGCTCCCTATGTTGACATTGGCCAGGGCCTTTGCAAACAAGCCAGGCAAAAAGATTCAACATTGACACCAGCCACTTTAATGAGGGCATTGACCTTATCCTCCTTGACGGTCACCTTGTTGTTGTGCAAGATAAGGGCAGAATAGATGGAGGTGAGCCTGGAGACAGAGGCCGTGGGCATGGTGGGCTTCTGGGCATGATGCTAGTCGCCAATGAAGTAAGGGCCTCACCCCACTACAGCCTTCCCTCCCTCAGAAGAACCGAGCACCTTGGTGGCAGCTGAGGAAAGGGAAAACCATTTTTAATGGTGCCAATGTTTGGACAGAGTTCAGGTGATAAATTTTAATAGTTATGCATAATTTGCTTCTGTAATGGGAGAAACATTTTTACTTGCTATGAAAACTATCAAAGCTATAATATCTTTTATTTTGCGTCTTCTGATTTAGCTTGAATTTTAGGTTTATCATGAGAAGAATAGTATCAGGAAAGTGATGTGAATTAGGCCCAGAGCAGCACTCAGCATGCTGACCTCACTTCTTCCCTCCCTCTGGTTGCCTGACTGGGGTTGCAGTGACTCACAAAGTAAAGTACAATAGAGATTAGACAGCAAGTCCCGCCGGGCATGGTGACGCACACCTGTAATCCCAGCACTCAGGAGGCTGAGGCAGGAGGATCATTGCAACTTCAAGACCAGCCTAGGCTACAAGTGAGCTCAAGGCAGCCTGAACTGCATAACAAGACCCTGTCTCAAAAAGACAAAAAAAAAAAAAAAGCAAGTCCCGCTGTACTACTTGTAGCAGGCAGAAGATGTTGACATGTTTTTATCTTTACCCTACAGGCTGCCATAAGAAAAGAACTAAATGAATTTAAAAGCTCAGAGATGGAAGTTCATGAAGACAGCAAACATTTCACACGGTAAGATCGCAAAAGGCTCAAATACTAACAGCTAAGTAAAAATTCTCCAAACATATATATGAGGGTTGTGCAGATAGGGAGAGCTCTGATGACATCATTAGAAGAAAGTGATGACTGCAGTACATTCAGGGAAAAGAAGGAGAAGTAAGAGGCAGCAATAAATGTCTACTCTGAGTTTGACATTTTATATATGAGATATTTTTAAAAATATAGTGAATGCTGAAATTTTTTAAAGTGTAGTACGATAAAAGACACATTAGCCTGGCATCTATAATCCCAGCACTCAGAAGGCAGAGGGGGGAGGGTCGCTGGGAGTTCAAGCCCAGCCTGAATGACATAGTAAGATCCTATCTCAAAAAATAAATTAATAAATAAGAGTTCGGATGTGGTGGCACATGCCTGTGATCCCAGCACTCAGAGGCTGAGGCAGGAGGGTCACTGCAAATTTGAGGCCACCCTGGGCTATATAATGAATTCAAGGCAGCTTGAAACTTTGTCTCAAAAAACAAAAATAAGGGGCTGGAGATTTAGCTCAGCGGCAAAGCGCCTGCCTAGCAAGCGCAAGGTCGTGAGTTCGGTTCCCAGTACCGGAGAAAAAACAAAAAAACAAAAAAACAAAAAAAAAACAAAAATAAATGAATAAATGAATGAATAAATAAATAAAAGACATTGCCCTCAATCCCCCTTGAAATACTCCTCCTCCCTTATAACACGTTTATCCTGTCATTCTTGCTACTTTCTGAAGCAGCTCTGCAAGTCATCTTTCCTAATTATCTTTAGTTGTGCTGTCATTTCTATCTGGATATCCTGAATTGATTAAAAATATTTACCTTTCATGGTCATTTTGACTTTGAAGAGGAGCCAGCTCTGGTGAACAGGGTGGATGAGGATACTGTAATGTTTTTAAAAGCCTGCCTTTCAATTGAACTGCGCTCAGCAGCAGCAGCCACTCATGAAAAAGGGCTTCCAGAACTGCTTCAGAAAGTGACAAGAGCCAGGTGTGGTGGCACATGCCTGTAATCCCAGCGCTGAGGCTGAGACAAGAGGATCGCCAAGAATTCAAGAGCAGCCTGGAATAGCCTGACGATTAGGGAGACACTGTCTCCAGAAAAGGAAGGGAGGGGCAAGAACAGTAGGATGAGCGTGTTTGAAGCACAGGAGAGGATTTTGAGGGGGATTAATGTCAGTGTATCTTTTACTATAATTTTTTAATTTAAACACAATATTTTTATCAGTCCTTGGTATTAAATATATACAGTAAACTTACAAAACGGATTAATATTCCCATTTTTATCCATGAGGAAATGGAGGTACAAAGCATAAATAACTTGGCTTGCCAGTAGGTTGCAGAACCAGGATTTACAGGAAGGAATGAATATCTTCAAAGCTGTGGAGTGCTCCTCCCTGATCTCACCTTCACAGTCTAAGAGCGAAGAGCCTGTGCTGAATTAGAGAACATCTTACATCATATAGTTTTAGTCCTTTCTAGCACAATTGTTCCTACCAACTTGGTGTATAAACTTCATTTTAATTATTTATCTTCATGAAACAAGCCAAAGCCAGGCATGGTGAGGTGGTCCATGAGAGTCTGAAGCGGGATGATCACTAGTTTGGGTCCTGCTGGGCAATTTAGTGAATCACTGTCTCAAAAAATAAAAAGGGCTGGACATGGTGGCGCACGCCTGTAATCCCAGCACTCAGGAGGCTGAGGCAGGAGGTTTGTTGCGAGTTTGAGACCAGCCTGGGCTACAAAGTGAGCTCAAGGCCAGCCTGAACTGTATAGCGAGACCCTGTCTCAAAAAGACCAAAAAAAAGAAAAGAAATAGTTAACTCACCTTTCACCCAATATATGTGGTATTTTCTTGCACTGAATTTAATCATGTTTAATACTGCAGAATAAAAATGTCTCACAATGAGAAAAGAATAATAAAAATAAAATTGGAGTGGAGAAGAGGCATAGCAATCTGTTATCTGGTAACTTTGTCTTTTTTTGATCATCTGTTTTAGCTACCATCGTCCATGATCCTGAAGTTTGAGAGAGGAACTAAGTGACATCCCCCCCCCAAAAAAAAGAAAACAGTGCTGCTTTGCAGCCTGTCTCCAGAGTGACATCGGAGGGAACTTCAGCACTTCCCAGCACAGCCAGAATTCTGCCCTCTGGGTTCTGGTTCTGGAGTAAACAGCACTTCGAATGTAGCCTTTCACTGGAATGGATTCTCATGTGCTGCTCACGGGGCAGAACTGAGGGCTCTGTCAGTGCTTTTGAACTTTTCATTGCAGCTACTTGGGGACTTTTCTCTCACAGCCACCAAAGTTCTGGACCACCTGCCGGCAGTGAGTTTTACTGGCTGCACCACACCCCTGCCCCGCAGTGACCACCTGTGCCGAGGCACAGTTTGCACCATTAGCCTTACCCGCCCTCCTGTGACTCTGAGACTGCTTGTGTAGGCGCTAAGTCCCTCCCGCTATCAAATCCAGTTGGTGGTAGGGAAAACCTTGCAGAGGCCCCACCTTTGGGCAAGGGCGCCCCTTCCAGGGGAAGCCTTCCTACTGCACTGGCCTGTCCCGCGAAAGCATTGCACCAAACCTCGTGGCGCGGCCATGGAGCCCTCTTCTGCACTCAAGCCTCAGAGACACTCGGGATCTGACATTTTCCTCCTTTTTGGCCCTTGTCATCCTGATTTTTATTTTAAAGTGATCTTGAAAAAGATCACTGGGAATTTATGTTTTTTCTGTCTACTAGACAGTCTGAGCTGCAGCTCAAGTACAGGTTGATCAAATGAAAAACCGTGTATGTTTTCTATGCACAAAAACAAGAAAAAGGCCTTAATATTAACATCAACTTGGCAGAAAACTGACCTGTGGCTTAAATTGTATAAGCTGTTTTATTTTTATTGTACCAAATAATACTATAAATCACTTCGACCAGCAAATGTTCTCTCCCCGGTGGGCAGAGTTGTGGGCATTCTGTGGGAGGACTTGTGTGCGGGGGCCTCACATTTCCAGCCAGAATCGTAGCCGGGTCCTAAGGGGTGTGAAGAGCTCTCTGCAGGGCGTAGGGAGAAGTGCTGATAGAGACGCAGTTGTGACTCCGCCTTGTGCCCTGCGTGGGCCCTCTTCTGCCGCACAGTCCCTCTTCACCCCGGCACTGCCCCCCACAGCTTCCTCCTCACCTTTCCTTTTCCACACTGTCCCCGTGTGGTTAGTGCCTGGGCATTGGTCAGCCATGCCCCATTTTGTATCTGTAATATATATTAGTACAGTTTCCTAAAACAGGCTTGATCACTTTCCTTGAATTTTCATTGAAGACCAAACAGCCTCACTATTTGCCTCTTAATTCCTGTCCACACCATAAGTGGGGAAAAAAATAGCTTCAATTTAACTGATGAATGTGGCATTTTTTTCTTCGCTTTAATGTACAGAAAACTGTGGCTGTTTCATAAATTTCTTCTGAATTATTCTGTAGTGCCTGTCATTTGTTCAGTATGTAATCTTTCAGCAGATTGCTCTCTTTTCATGTCCATATCAGACTTGCTAAAGAATCAGAACATCAGGTCAAAAAAAAAGAAAAAAACTAAAGTGACCTTAAAGGCAATTTTTTGGTGGAGGGGGCTGGATTTCTTAATTACTGTCTAGTTGGAAGCAATACTGGACCATGTGCTTGGAGCTTGTTAGCAGTTAGGTAGCTGGGAAAGATCGAAGGACTCTTACTTCCTCCATTAGAGGTTTGCATGTAAGGTGGCCACGTTAACCACTAACTTGACTTCTATGTTGATGGTATGAAGACTGACTTATTTCCACTTTTTTTTTTTTTTTTTGTCTTTTTGAGACAGGGTCTCGCTGCACAGTTCAGGTTGCCTTGAGCTCACTTTGTAGCCCAGGCTGGTCTCAAACTTGCAACAATCCTCCTGCCTCAGCCTCCCGTGTGCTGGGATTACGGGCATGCGCCACCATGCCCAGCTCAATATTCTCTCTGTCTTGAGATGACATTTTCAAACTCCTTTTTCTTTTTTTTTTTTTGTATGTGTGTGTGGTTTTTTTTTCAAACCCCTTTTTCTCTGTCTTTCATTCCTTTAATGTGCCAAGCTTGAAACAGAATTTGATTTTCTGAGCTACTTGTCTGCCTTCTCTGTGCCATCAAGGATTCTGGTTCATCTTTCATCTCATCTGTGTTCTTTTGAAACAAAGTATTGGGGGAGGGTGAAGTTCATTCATTTGTTTCGTTTTGTTTTTATGTATATAAAAGTTGATTTTGTGTTCCTTTTCTGTTTAAGTTGGAAGCTCACAAATCATAATGTAAAGAAGAAATAAAAGCCTGGTATATTATACTTCAAGATGCTTCCCTGGTGTACAGAATCTCCTTGTACAATTAATAATTGCATTGTATATCAGTCTTCCCACTAAAATTAATTATTAAAGTATTTTAGAAGTTCAAAATACCAAACAATTTTGGTGTGAGGTACTTATTTTTATGTTCTACTTGGTCCAGAAGATTAAAAACAGTTTTAAAAATGATACACAAATATCGCTAGTGACCCTAAAAGCATGTACAGTAAGGACATGTGCATGCTGCCAGAGGTGACTGTCAGTAAGGTTTGGGTCTGCGCACAGACATAGACTAAGCACAGGCCAAAGAAAAGAGTCAACTGTGGGTCCCCTGTGTACCAGGCTCTGCACTGGGCTCTTTGTCCTCTTGAGCTCACCCTCCGCCTGTTAGGTAAGTAGTACTATACTCGTCGTATTCATGAAGGAGCTAAGGTGAAGTTGTTTTCCCAAAGTCAAAGCAAATTAGGAAATCATCCCTTGCATATACTGGAGGACAAGCACTTGAAGCCTGATCAATTGACCCTGCAAGGATTTACTTGCATGGACGACATATAGTTAGACCTCAGGCATACCTCATAAAGGGATGCTTGGTGCTTCCTGTCCTCCTTTCAGGTAAGCAGCCCAGTTTCAATCCAGGTGGCAGTAGCTCACTTTCTCCCTGTCACTTGAGAGACTGACCTTATTTACCATATATCCTTTACTGACGGCTAGAAGAAACCTTGAGTCAGAACTACTCATGTCATTGGACTTCTTATACTCTCAAAATGCTCTTTCTCTTAGAGGCTTAAGTGATCTCCAGAAGGCTGTTTTGAAAGTCTACATTGGGCTGGGGATATAGCTCAGTGGCACAGCACCTGCCTGGCAAGCACAAGGTCCTGAGTTTGATTTTTGGCACCAAAAAAAAAAAAAAAAAAAAAGAAGAATGTACATTTTTCAGTGTTTGTTGAAACAATTAATGGATTTAGATAACTGCTCCAGAAGCAGAAAGTT